AGTCAAATTTTGAGACCATGCTAGGTAGTTTTGACCATTAAATAGAGAGGTGGTGATTTTCAGACTAGGGTTGGGGTTCTCAGTCATGGTAGTAGGTAGAATGGGACTCTCACTCTTTGGTGTTTGAGAAGAAGGGGACACACTGGTGGAATCTGTCATGGATACAATACTACTGAACCTGCAACAAAACTAGTGGCAATCACAAACCCGGAAGGTGGTAGTGAGATAACAGGCACAATGACCACTATAAAGACATAACAAAATTAAGAAACCATGTTTTTTTTTATATATATATATATATATATAGATTTATTTATGTATACATGTATTGGTACGGTGTGATATATATATATTTATATATACAAGGGTGTGAGATCATACCACAATGATGAAGACGAGGACGAGGATGACGAGTGATGAAGGCGACAGAGGAGCTGAGGACGAGGAGCTGAGGAGCTGAGGACGACGAGGGCGATGAAGACGAGCGACGAGCGGCTGGAGGAGATCAACGAGCTGAGGAGCTGAGACGAAGACGATGATCCAATCGGCTGATGAAGACGAAGCAGAGTGACGACGGTAACTGAAGATCGACCCAGCAGATGATCCAACTAGGTACGTTTTGAACCCTAATCCTAGAGGTGTAGCTCTGATACCATGAAGCTTGGGTAACCAGCTTAGGGTATAATAGAATATCACCCCCTATTTATAAATGAAGATTAGGGTTTACAAGAAAGACAATTACAAGATGATCACTGAGGGCATAAAATGATTACAGACCCTAGTGTAACTTTCGGCTAATATAATATGCTAACACTTTCGGCTAATATAATATGCTAACAAGGAGTTGGAGTTGAAGGAGAAGAGGGAACAGACTTAGAGGGGTCAGTGGAGAGGGGCTCATTAAGAGGGGTGGAAGACGGAACAAATTCATGGGAAATAATAGAGATGTACTCATCCGGAGGGACCTCAGAAGGAAATAGATCAATGTGAACCAAATCCTCTTTAGAAACCGGAGTAGTGAACGGAGGAAGCTAAAAGTAAGATAGACGTTCGAAAAATACAACATGCCGGGAGACATAATGACGACGAGAAACAGGGTCATAACAACGATAACCTTTTCTGGGTAATACTGTAACCCAAAAAGACACACAGAACAAACTAGGTACTAAGTTTGGTCCTATCTTTACAGGGATGAAGGACAAAACAAGCAAACCCAAAAACACATAAGAAGGAGTAATTGGGAAGTTAGGAGAACGAAGCCTCATAAGAGAACAACCAAAGAGGAAGGGAGTAGGCATACAGTTTAGAAGAAAAGCAATAAAAAAAATTACTTCACCCCAAAAAGGAGTCAAAACAGAGGCAGAGAAAAGGAGAGACCTAGTTGTCTCAAGGAGATGATGGTACTTATGCTCAGCGCAACCATTTTGGGCGGATGTATCAGTGCAGAAAGTTTGGTGAATGGTATCCAAATTAGCCAAATACTCACAAAACTTAGTTTTAAAATATTCTCCACTCAAGTCATATCGTAACAATTTAATTGTAGATCCAAACTGTGTAGTGATCATAGACTAAAAAGTACGGTATATCTGGTAGAAGTCAGATTTACGAGTCATAAGATAAAACCAAGTATAGGGTTGCAATCATCAACAAAAACTACATAGTATGCAAAACCCCCTTTAGTGAGAACAAGGGAGGGTCCCCAGACATCAGTATGCACAAGAGAAAAAAGAGATACATAAATAGTACTTTTATTAAATGGTAAAATTGACATTTTGGCAAGTTTACCCCCCCCAACATTCATCAATTTGACTAAGAGAAACTTTACCCAACAATCTTGACTGAGCTAAAGACCGTAAGCAACCACAAATAAATGACCTAGGTGAGAATGCCATAAATAAAACTGACTCAACTGAGAATATAACTGAAACGAGGAAAGTGCAACTGGAGAAGTGGATAGAGGGAGATGCAAGCTTTCTACCACATAGAGATCTCCAACTCTACGACCGGTTCCAATCTGCTTCTTGGACATCCGATCCTACACAAAACAGACAGAAGAAGAAAAGATAATATGAAAACCAGAAGCATCAAGTTGACTGATAGATAATAAACTGACAGATAGCTGAGGGACATAAAGAACAGAGGGAATAGTAACAGCAGACATGGCAAAGGTAAGACAAACCCAATAGATAGAGCAGACATACCAGACCCATTAGCAGTATGAACAGTAATAGGAACAAGAGGGGAGGGGGATACAATTTTGAAGTTTGTAAAGGTAAAGAGTCATATGACGAGAGGCACCAGAATCAAAAAGCCAGACAGAAAAAGAGATACTTGAAGAGGACCCAAGCAAATCTAAATAAAGAGAGGTAAGAGCAAAGGTAGGTGGGGATGGCTAAGACGTGGACAAGATATGCTGAAACTGAGCAATCTGAGCACTCAAGGAAGCCAAGTCAAGATTAGGAGTCAAAGTAGATGCAGTATAAGCGGCAGGAGGCCGAAAAGTACTTGAAGCAGGACCTCAGAACTATGTATGAGGCGGCTGAAAAGACGGAGCCAACTGACGTCCCTTCTTGGGACAGTTGTACTTCCAATGGCCCCTCTGATGGCAAAAAGCACACTCATCAAAAGCCAGTGGCCCCTTCTTGGGCTTCATAATGGCCTGAAGCTGAGAAGGAGGTGGGGTCGATAACAGAGAAGGCTAAGTAAGAGCCAAGAAGACAAAGGGAGACAGAGTCTAACTGGACGTCTTAAGACGGGTTTCCTCGGAGAGAAGCTCACGAACAATAACATCCACAGAGGGAAGAGAAGACCGGTGAAGGATGCCACCATGAATAGCCTCATACTGAAGGAAGAAAGCTATTAAGAACTGCACTAAATGACCCTGCTCCCGAAACTCAACATAAACATCTAGGACCTTGACGCTGGATGGTTCCATGAGAACCAACTAATCCTAAAGACCTGTCATCTCAATGTAGAAATCCTGAATAGACAGATCCCGCTGACGAGCACCCTGAATAGTTGTTTCCAACTCATACCGCTTAGCAAAATTGGGCTGCTGATACACACCTAATAAATAGTCCCACACCTCCTTGGCAGTACTATATTTGAAAAGCATCATCCCAATACGGTCATTCACAGAATTATGAAATCAGGTCAGAACTTGGGCATTGTCACAATCCCAAGTGTCATAGGAAGTTAGATATCCTTCTTGTTTTGGATCCGATGGACGAAGAACAAAAATAAAAACATAGCCCTATTTTTTCTAACCAAGAAGAAAATTCTTTATAACACTAGCCCAATAAGCATAATTGGCACCAATGAATTTGCATCTGATAGCTTAGATTTTTGTGTATTGTAATAAGCCAGAGATGGATTGAAGTGTAATAAACCGAAGCCTAAGGGTTCACACTATTATAAATAAAAGAAAACAAGAAATGATCAGAGAGAGAAAGAACCAGGGTCACAAAGTAGACGTCGTGAATCCAAAACCAGAACGACAGAGATCTCACGAGCAAATCAGATGGTTCGAAGGGCTTGAGGAGTCGTGATGCTGATGAGGTAGAGAGAGAGAGTTACGATGAACCAGAGAGAGTCGAACCAGAGAGAGTCAAACCAGATGAACAAATTAATCAAATGAACCAGACCCAATCTCAGATTGGTTGGTTCAAACCAGATATGTCACGAATCGACAATGATAGATCGCGATTCGTAGCAGATGGGCACAACAAGGAATCGCGATTGAACCGAGAGGCAGAGAGCTCTGGGTCAACTTCGAATAGTCTTCGAACCAGACGAAAACTTTGAGTCAAGCGAAGAACTAGATGGAGCAAACCCAAACTCAAATGAGTCAACTTTGTGAAATCAAAGATCAAACTCATAAATGGCTTGACTACGGCTACTAGGGTTTCGAACCTTGAAGCTAGGGTTTCAAACCAAGCTCTAATACCATGTAAGTTTTCCTAATGATCTGTTTATTCAATTGTGTGTTTGTAATACAAGAATACATCGATATATATAACAATCTAACCCTAGAACTGAAAAAGGAAACAAAAAATATTCACTCCATCCCTTATATATACAAATATATATATTACCATATATACATAAAACCTAATATTCTCACAGTATCACATCTCACTGACAGATGGTTGGCTTTACACTAAATACTAAAGAGGCAAGAACTCAACAGGACATGCAGGCATGTGCTAACCTATTTAACCTATCCCATGGAAAAAGCTTTCTCTTTATTCATCAGGTTTCTCAAACAAATTCTGTTTTTAACATTAACATGACATCAAAGCACATTTGAATTAGACATGTAAACATGTATGAAAATGTTGTTAGCCCAAAAAATAGAGGGGACAAATAACTAGTTACAAAATTTAAAAAAAAAGCACAAGGGATTTAATTACAATAAACAACAAAACAATATCAAAATGAGTGAGTACGCATTCACAAAACCTTAAGAACAACGCCCACAGGAAGCAAATACTCCCTCCCTTGTATCCTAAAAAGATGAACAAAGAATTTAAATTTCAAGACAATTGAAAATAAAAATCCTATTGTATTAGGCGACAGTTAGCTTGGCTCACCAGAATCCAAGTCTTGCACTTCCATTATTAAGATAATACAACTTAACTGATACTGCAGATTGATCTTCTCTAACACATCTGAAATGAGAATAAACAAAATCTCTGTCACAACAAAACAATTGGAAAACAATGTGCAAGTCACAACATCAAAACATGAAACAAAATACTTCAGAACAGTTTGGTGTTCCAAAAAATAACTTTCTAAAAACTGTACCAAGCTGTCAAAATATGACATTCATTTAAAAAATAATGAAACCTAACTAAACATGAAACTAAGGGCATATTAGTAGGCATGGGAAATTAGAGCATTACAGGAGATTACCCAGAGTTTTTCAGTACCCTTAGCCTGAAACAATCCAGAAATATCTAGTCAAAGGATGTGGCTACATGGTTATGGGGATGGATTCTCAACTCCAGTTCCCAACACCAACACCATTACCACAAACCCACACAATATGGCCCCTAACTGCCTTGGTGGTCAACTATACTTTGAAACACCCAAATATGCTCCCTCCACCTCCCTCCACAAGTTATCCTTTTCAAAACAAATCTAGACAAATATATTTCAAGCAAAGATTTATCAAATAATTTAGAGACAAGCCACCTAACTCCAGAATAGACAAGGGTACACATTCTCCACTCCACTATATAGTCCTTCTATTCATCATCCATCACTCCCCACAAGTAATCCATTTGCAATTTCATAGCCTCCTTGCTATAGATGAAACAAAATAGCAAAGCCTAACATAAAGTTCGAAGCTTGTACTGAGTGATCTTAGTAGCCTCCAAGCCTTTCAGTTATGGAGGGAGTTTCACCAAAAAGCTAAAGGAATCTATAGAATTAAGAATTGTTCCTTTATTCTTCTCTTGGTTGGTCATTGGTCATTGGTCATTGACTCATTGGTACTGGTCACTGATTGTCGGTCATAAATCTATCATATCTGAGTGCTTGGTTTCTTTCTCTCTCTAACGTACAACAGCAAAACTCAAAGCACTTAACCAATCCTTCATAACTCTCCCAATGAAATTAAACATCTGTTTTTTTAAGTAATCAAACGACATCATAGATAGTTATCGATACTATTTATGGCCCTAAAAGCAAATATTAGCATTCATATTATTAAACATATATATAATCATTAATACTTGCATCAAAGTGTTAATAATAGGTTAAACAAAAAACTAGTAGACAATGCATATAACGTATTATTGCAATGATCACTTACCGGATTTCAAGTAGGCAAAGGTCATCAATCAATTTCATACCTTTTCCATTTTTTTCTTTTTTCTCTTTTCTTTTGTCTTTTTTTTTTTTTTTTGGGTGGGGTTGGAAGGGGGGATGGGATGATTACATAATAAGATGACAATCATAAACAAAGATAATAGCCAAAGAGGTAATTGCATGTGTATGATATGGAGAAAAACCTTATGACAACAGCTTTATCAGTATATCCTTCTCGTCGATCACGAAAGGAATTACGAACCATACTCATCGGCTGCAATAAAACACATCAATGGTGCGATATAACACCGATTAAATTAAACCGAAAAGAAAAAGGAAAAATTCAAGTGAAGTAAGTCCAATCATATAACATATACTATATAAGAACACTTATACTTTTAACGCACAGAACCTTGGTTGAAGTCTTTACCCAATCTTTGGAGACATTTAACTACTTTCCTGCCCGAAATATGAGCTTTTGAACCCCTAATCTCCAGGTTTAAACCACCACTCCTTAAATTTTAAAACAAGTCAAAACATATTCTAAACTTTCATTGTGTTTAATTAACACCATAATCTTTTCAATACATAACCTCCAAATTAACAGGAAGTGCATGTGACTGAAATTTGATGAGTTTGACCAATCTGTCCTCCCAGTCACTTTATAAGCATTTAAACAAGAAGATCAGGCTCCCACTTGTATTTCTTATTCTGCAACTCTATTTAACTATATTGGTCACAGCAACATGACTGCCAAAGTTATACCATGAATCAGGTAACTACCAGGATTCAATCAAATGCCTGCAATTTTTACTATGATGGTTGTAATCATTCAAGTAGGGATATACTAATGTAGACAATGGTGACGGGTAAGTAGCATCAAAAACAGAATTACGTTTTATGATCAAGGTTGCAAGAATTGAACACCCTAACTTTGAGTTGCAACATGATAAATAACTGCACACTAACAACTGAGTACCATGAACCATCATATTACCAAAAATTAAAAAGATCACACAATACACAGAGCTCTATCCATGGTGGATTCTGTTAGTATTAGTACTAACATTAGGTTAGCAATTTCATAACTTGTGTGTGCAACCTTGGGTAGAACACAAGCCACTACAGTGAGGAAAGCACATTGGACTGGCTGCATACTTTGGAAGCTTAAAGTGCTATGAGAGATCTTCAAAGGCATCAAAGGGGGGCTATGGAAAACTTTCATCGGCATAAAGAATACTTTGGCCAAGGAAAGACATTTGAGCATATATGTAGGACTGAAAGTGTACTTTACCCAATAAGTATGTGTTCTGTCTATAAATAGGACTGAAAGTGTACTTTACCCAATAAGTGTATGTTCAGACCAAAAGACAGATATGTTGGGGGAAGGCGGAAGAGGGGGGATTTTTACTTACATAGTTCCGCTTTGGCAAAATTATAAGTCGAATGACGCTTTCAATTCCATTCAAAATAAAGTACCTAAAAAGCAAAGAAACCAAACAATTACAAGGGGAGAGCGAGAGAGAGCCAAGTCTACATAGAAAGACAAATCACGTTATAAACATAAAAAATAAAAAAAATAAAGTACTTACAAAGAAATATAAAAGTGAAAAGTGATGGAAAAGCAACTTTACAATTCAAAAAAAGGTGTAAATAGGCATGTCAAATCGATCTTTGCAAGATAAAAGAAACTAACATCACAGAGCCCAGTACAACTTGACAGACACAGTGCTTTATGTGCTGACCATGCAAATTATAGTTTATTCTCAGCTAACAATATCATAGTATACCCTTCTTGGTGTAGAGCAAGTACTTAACTTTTGATGTTTTTCTTTTTTCATTAAGTCAAAGGTATTTTGATGCAAAGCATGCTAACATACACATATATCTGATATTCTTAAATTTATTCAGGAAACCAATAAAATCTTGCATAATGAGAATTCTATCCAAATATACCTTGGGGCTGGTGAGGAAATGATGTCAATCTGATTTTTTAGCTTTTTCGTATTGATTTAAAAGTACACTGTACCACACCTTGCTAGCTCTAATCAAATTGGTTTAACTGTGTTTCCTTGAGTAATGGCCTTATCAAGGTTTCTATCATTTTTGCAAATAAAAAGTTTAAAATATTTGAGTCACACCATCAAGTAATAAGCCACAGGTAGCATAGATAAATCAATGCATTCATTCAATTCAATGGCTTGAGAAGGCTCTTAAAACTTTACAAAATTGTCATGTAACCATAACCCTAAGTGTGAAGTCAAAGCATTTGATAGGGAACTGGGATTGGCAATTTATTATTTCCATTCTTTGGGATGTAAGGTTCACGGGAAAGGACTTGCCAGAAAATTGATACGGAAAGTGGAAATGCCTAGAAATTTGCCAACAGATTGGGTGAAAAGTGAAAGCATTTTGTTCTCTTTTTAGCAAGTCTCCTTTACTACAGCTCTATCACCCTCTACTTTTTTCGATGGGTAAGTGGTCGGTCCCTCTCTATAATAGTTCTATCTCATTTATATGCTTTAGATTTTAAGGTTTTTGGCTTCTTAGTTAACTTATTAAACTCAAATTTGAGGGTTTCTTCCTATTTGTTTTGAGCTTCCATAACTCAATCTCTAGTCTAGAGAGGGTTCTAGTTCACAAACTCATGTTTCAATAAAGGCAAGTTCATTAAATGGTTGTAACCTCTGTTACATGGACTCTTCTACTTTCCCAGAGTACCCGTGTCTACTAGATATGACATGGGTAAGGATGTAGGATGTGTCTGACACTTGTACCCAATTTAGGCACTCAGATCCTTTAATTTGTGAATACATGAAGAAGAAGAAGAAACTCAAATTTACTCATAAAGCCATATTTTTAGCCTCTTACATGAATTGGATATAGAAATTTCAAATTTTTCCTAAATCCTATTTAATTTCTAATATATTTCTACGTAATTTACATCATCTCATCCGAGAATAATATATAATATGCAATATATACGTGTATATACCTCATACCCATATCCAATTTTGCATACATAATATGTATCCCTAGATCCTAAAATTTAAATTTATGAAGGTATGACGTTTGGATACACACCCACACCTGATACCCGAGTCCATGTAACATAAGTCATCCCAAATACTTCATTATCACCAGTAAACATTTTTTAGGATGCTATCAAGGTTCTAAAAAGCAGTTGCAGTCGTCGTAACGGTAGCGGTGATGCGGTTGCGGGGTGTAAAGGCCGTAGTGTAATGGTTGCGGTAACCGGAACCGTGAATTTTTTTATTTTTCGCACAATTTGAAAGAAACCTACCGATACGCATATTTTTTTTCCATGATCATATTTATTGGATTAAAAATAAATATTGATCAATTTTTGTAAATTTTTAAGTATGATCCAATATATTTCATACTTTTAAATCACTATAAACTGAGTTTTTTACATTTTATTTTAATAATTTTTGACGTTATATTATACAAAAATTCAATCACTAACTATTATATATAAAATAAACAATGACAAAAGTATGAAAATAAATAAGAGCCTAAATATATATATATACATATTTTAACCAAGCCAAATAGATAATGACCACACTTATTATTATTATTATTATTATTATTATTATTATTATTATTTTCAAACAAAATATAGATAGACACACACAAACAAAATGGTTTAGTAATAACAGCTGAATAAAATAGCATAGGTCATACAATTTCAACAAATCAATAACATGTTCTTCATCTTCCCTCTTCTCTCTCTCTATCTCTTGCTCCTCCATTTTCTCTCTTTATCCTCCCTCTTCTCTCTATCCCTCTTCCCCCATTTTCAGCTTTTTTTTTTCGAAAGAAACAGTTTGGAACCGTTACGTAACGGTGCGTAACAGGCCGTTACGGCTGTTACGGCACCGTTACGACCGCTATGGCAGCAATTTCAACAAATCAATAACATGTTCTTCATCTTCCCTCTTCTCTCTCTCTATCTCTTGCTCCTCCATTTTCTCTCTTTATCCTCCCTCTTCTCGCTATCCCTCTTCCCCCATTTTCAGCTTTTTTTTTTTCGAAAGAAACAGTTTGGAACCGTTACGTAACGGTGTGTAACAGGCCGTTACGGCACCGTTACGGCCGCTACGGCAGCCGTTACAGCCGACACACCTGTGAATCTCAATCACACTGCAAAAGCGGCCGTAACGGGTTGTGGTAACCGCCAAAACTGTTACGTAACAGCGTTACGTAACAGTTGCGGCCGCTTTTTAAAACCTTGGATGCTATTAAACCATTTGACTAAATCCAGAAAGCTAGATTAGGGCAACAAATGGAGAGTTTGGTTGTAACATTTAAGTGGATCGCTGAGGCATGTTTGCAAGTCCTGGTTGTAAAAAATGTTGTGCAGTCTGAAGGACATGCGACTAAGAGGCAGCGAAGCATTACCTTAGTTTCAAGGACAACAACCACAGTAGTCTAGATCTACTCTGACCTTAATTCATGAAACAACATCATTTTCACCCCACACACACACACACACAAAACAGAACACAAAAAAACAAAAAACAAAAAGAGAAGAAGAGAGAGATCAATTAATTATATTGATATATCATAGTTTTACATGTATATATATAATGTAGTTATAATGATATTAATTTCATTTTAAATACTATGTATGTTTTTATATGTATATACTACATAAAATTATATATATGATAAATAAAGTGAATCTTACAATTCACGATCACATTTTAGCAAAACGATTCATGACTCGATTTGTGATTTGACAACAATGGTGGTCGATGCCTAGAAAGTTCATGCCTTGAAAAGATAGAAATCTTGCATGTATGTATTATTGTCTATTTTGTTTAAGTTTGGAATCATTTTGAGAATTGAGGGGGGTTTTGGAACCGATTTTGGACTCCTAGCATGAGATTTTGTTTTCAAGTTTCTAGTCAATTCCATAATCGATTAGCTAAATCAGAGAGAATCCCACCAAACAAACCAAAATGGTCGCTAATCAATTCTCCCATTCTCCCACTAAACATACTAATAGAGGTTGCTCAATGCTAATCGATTAGAAAAACCAAAAAGATCATAAAATTGATTCCTCAATCTATTCTGTCACTATTTGAACAAGAATCCAAGTGTGTTCTAGTGCTAAGTAAGCACTCGCACACCCAAGTGTTCCATTATTCCGTTATTTTCAAAAAATATCTATTTTTACTAACCCTTGACTTATTTACCATTTATATGCATTTTTAAAACTTTGATTTAACTTTTGGGGACTTTTATGGCATGTATTGTCCCCTTAGAATTTATCAATTGATTTCCCTTTTCCATGTTCATGGACTCAAGTCACGAGATCCGGGACATGACAAGTAAATTTCATCAAAATCCCCACTTCTATAATCATAACCTTTGTTCAATTCGTATATGCCCTGATCCTAAACCATAACAAATTGTATACAAGATAAGAAACTGTTAAGCTAAGTTACACGGACGCGGGTACGAGGATCGGGTGCGGGTGCGTATCTAGGGGTCAGACACTTTAAAATTAAAAATTAAGGATACGTGGATATGTATCCAAATTTAAATACGGGTACGGGGATACGTTAAATATATATATTTTTTTTAAATATAGTTATTAAGATGAGTTATATTATATAAATAACAAATAATTATTTTACATATATGTGTTTATTTATTTTTATTAATATATATAAGTATATACTACCTTATAAATATATTATATGCTAGACAATAATTATTATATAATATATAATAATAATTGTTATTATTATAGTTATTATAATAATAATTATTAACGGGTAGTTATGTCTTTTGTTCCTTTAGTCTTTTATTATAAGTATGTGTAACCTTAATATGTTTAGTGGTGTGAAATAATATACAGCAGCAGCAGTGCTCTCTCTTTTCTTCCTCTCTTTCTTTTCGTTCTTTTATGCAAATCTAACATGGTATCAGAGCTTCATCTTCCTCCTTAAAGATTATTCTCTTGTTTCTTGTTTCTTTCGTTCTTCCCTCTACACAGAGGGGAAAAAAAAATTCATTTACGGTCGAAATTTGATGGGTTTTCACCATAGATTTTTATTTTGATTTTTTGATGAGTTTTTAAGTGTTTTTCCAATTTTTGTTGATTTTTGGAAAAATCGATTGATTTTTTTGGAAGTCCCTGCTGGGGCTTGTTTTTGGCTATTTTTTCCTTCCTCCCTCTACCTTGGGAGCCGACTAGGACTATCCTAGGGTTGGGAGGACTGGTTTTGATGATTTGGCAAGGTTTCACTCTATTTTTGTCGATTTTCCTTAGTTTCAGCACGTTTTCTCTCGGTTTCTGATTGGTTTCGGCCTCTCCAGCCCCTGTTTCGGCTCTGTTTTTGTCTCTAAAGGTAACTTTTGTCCCTAAGTTGAGTTTGTGGATTCGCCTCTGTTTGTTTTTGCTGTTTTGGGCTAGTATTTGTTTTTTTTTTCTATTGTGGGCATTTACTCTTGAATGGCTGAAGGTGAGACTAAGGATACAATTAGTGATGAAGGTGGCCTCCGTCGTGTTATGACTCTTATCGACAATCCCTCTCTTCAAATTAGTCCCGTTAAATTGCATGGTTCCAACTATTTGATTTGGTCACGCTCCTGTGATCTTGTTATTGCTGCTCGCCATTTGACTGGCTACATTACTGGTTCTCTTCCCCTACCGGATGGTGATGACTCACTCCATACTCAATGGATTTCTGAAAATGCTCTTGTTATGACTTGGCTAATCAACTCTATGCAGCCCACTATTAGTCGGAGTTTCCTTTTATTAGATACTGCTCATAAGATTTGGACAGCTGCAGCCCAAATGTACTCCCAACAAGGTAATGATGCGCAGGCGTATGAGTTGAGGAAAAAGCTTCGAAGCTTAGATCAGAAAGATAGATCACTCGTAGTCTACTATGCTGAGTTGAGTAGTTTGTGGCAGGAACTAGACTATTACCAAAGCTTCCAGGCTGTTTGTTCTCGGGATGCCACGTTGTTTCAACAAACCGTTGAGAAAGAGCATGTGTATGACTTTCTTGCTGGCTTGAACTTGGAGTAAGATCAAATTCGCGTCCAGGTGTTGGGTCGTTCACCTTTTCCCACCCTACGCGAGGCTTACGCCCTTGTCCAACAAGAGGAGAGTCGTCGTAGTGCTATGGTGCATTCCTCTATTTAGGATCGTTCTGCTTTAGCTATTGCTCCTCCTACTCAGGCTCTTCGGCCTAGTATGGTTCAGTCTGGGAGTCAGGGTACACTGGTTAATCGAGATTGCTTGAAGTGTGATTATTGTGGAAAAGACAGACATGATCGAGAGCATTGTTGGAAACTGAATGGTCGCCCTACTCGGAGTCGAGGTCATGGTAGTACAGCTCGACCTCAAGCACATGTGTCCGAGATTGCTGTGAGTCTTTCTGAGCAGCCCAGTGCTCTTTCCCAGGATGAGTTACACACTCTCAGGCATTTGATGGCTCGACTTGACTCTCCTTCTACCACAGTTTCTTCTACTTCCGCTTCTTCCAATTTTGCCAACACAGGTATTCCTGCTAGTGCTCTTAGTACCTTATCATTGCCTTCTTGGATTAATGATTCCGGTGCCACCGACCGCATGACAGGTGCCTCTAGTCTTTTCTATTCTTATTCTCCTTGTTCCGGCCAAGACAAGGTTCGAGTGGCTGATGGCACTTTATCCTCTATCTCTGGCAAGGGTTCGGTTCATTGTTCATCTTTGCTTTCTCTTTCATCTGTGCTTCATGTTCCTACTTTTTCCACTAACCTACTTTCTGTTAGTAGTCTTACTACTTCTCTAAATTGCTCAGTGACATTTTTTCCTACTCATTGTGTCTTTCAGGACCTGGCTACGGGGAAAACAATTGGCAATGGTAGAGCACAAGGTGGGCTATACTTTCTGGATGTCGTTCCTCCTGTCGTCCCATCTCAAGCTCTCAAGTGCACTACTGGATCTTCTTTTTCTCTCCTTCATCAGTGGCATCGCCGTTTGGGTCATCCTTCCTTTAGTATTTTAGAGAAACATTTTCCTTCTTTAGTTCGTGATTGTCCTAGGAGTATTTTTTGTTGTGATGCTTGTGAACTTGCAAAGCATAAACGTACTTGTTACCCTTCAATTAATAAAAGAAATACTTTTCCTTTTATGCTTATTCATACCGATGTGTGGGGCACTTCCCCTGTGGTTTCTACTTCTGGGTATCGATGGTTTGTTACATTTATTGATTGTTTTTCCCATGTGACTTGGATTTACTTGCTTCGAACTAAGAGTGAAATTTTTTCTTATTTCCAAACTTTTCATAAAATGGTGACCAATCTTTTTAATGCTCAAATCAAAATTCTTCGTAGTGATAATGGGACTGAGTATGTTGATGGAGTTTTTCGGACATACCTAGAGAAGCATGGCATTCTTTATCAGACTAGTTGTGTTGGTACCCCTCAACAGAATGGGGTTGTCGAACGCAAGAATGGCCATCTTCTTGAAGTTGCTCGCTCTCTCTTGTTTATCATGAATGTCCCTAAGTCATTTTAGGGTGATTCTGTTCTTACCGCTGCTTACCTTATCAACCATATGCCTTCCAATATCCTCCAATTCCAAATTCCTCTTCAACTGCTTCCTGTCGCATATCCCACCTCTTCTCTTTCTCCTCGTGTGTTTGGGTGTGTCTGTTTTGTTCATTTGCAACATCGTACTCCTGGGAAACTCGATCCTAAGGCTGTGCGTTGTGTCTTTATTGGTTATTCTGCTACTCAGAAAGGTTACAAATGCTATGATCCTCACACTTGTAAAGTGTATGTAATTATGGATGTCACTTTCTGTTGAAATTTAATGTATAAAGAGAAATAGAGAATTGTATTATTGATTGATGTAATGTTATATTTATTACAATGATTCATGATTACTATATATAGAAGAGGGTGAGTGTGTAGTAGGTAAGGAGTAGGTGAAGTGGAGGTGGTAGTGGTGTAGTGGGTTAAGGGGAAGTAAAGGAGAACAAGAAAAATATGCTCTACAACATTACGGTGGAAATTGAGATTCCTGGATCAAAACGAACCATACTATACCTATTTATAATTTTGAAAACATCAATAACCTTTGCCTTGGTTATTATATGATTACCTTTGCCCTGGCATGATATAAATAACAAAAATATAATTTAAACATTAAGTTAGGCATAATTAATCTTTATACAACAGAGGCCTTTACTACCCTGATAAGTGTTTACGCTACAATAGCCATATAAACTAGCTCTGATACCAGAAAAGGATCGTAATTAAACAAAGTTTAGTGGAGTAGGTGAGGTGGTAGTGGTGTAGTGGGTTAGGTTTAGTGGAGTAGGTTTAAGTGGGTGAAGTAGGTGATAGGTTTTAACAGCCCCCCGCAAACTCAAGGGGGATAGGAACTAGCCAACTTGAGTTTGGAGAGAGTAACAAAACAAGAAAATAGAAGAATACATAAAAGAAAAGAGGATAGGAGACACTGTATGGTCGTGTCAGACCGATGGTGAAGACACTGTATGGTGGTGTCATAACGTTGTAGAGGACACTGGATGGTTGTGGCAGACCGTTGTAGCAGATAAAGTCTGGACAGTTGACGAGGGCATGTCAGACCGATGGAGAAGCTAACCGAAATCAAGTGCGGAACAGTTTATGGGGTCATGTCGGACCGTTGTAGCAGTGTCAAAAATTAAGAAGAAAAAATTTAGATACGTGTTTCATGTACCCAGTATGCATGCAGAAGTATCATACGAGATACCATATGCCGGTACGGCCCCGATACGGATACGACATATTTTTTGAAATACTCATACCTCATAGGTTGGCAGTGATGGATGATGTCAAAAGTGACAGTTATGAGAGGCATAGTAGAATTGGTGTCTCGGATTTGAGGGAGTGAAGACGGAATGTGGAAACTTGTTTGTTAATCAAATTCTCAAATACTCGAATTAGGTAATGTGTGAATAATATTACCATGTAGCTCATTGATTGATTACTAGGAATGTGTGAATAATATTACCATTGATTGATTACTAGGAATTGATGACAACATATTTTTGGAGTAGGGTTATTATCTGAAAACCTGTTTGGCTAGAGAGAGTTTATTAGGAAATAGAACCCAGAAAAACCAGTAGGACTACTTGGAGTAGGCAGATCATATCATGGCTGGTGATATATCTTCATAGCAATATCACAAAAATTTATAACATAAATCATAAAAAAAAAAAATTCAATTTTTTTGCCACAAAAAGTACAACACTTTCAGTTTATGGTGCATATCATAAATTTGCCACTCATAAATTGTACCACAAATTTTTCCCTAAGAAGAATTCACTTTTATGTATATTTGATTTGCCACTCATAAATTTTACTACAAATTTTTCCCTAAGAAGAATGTACTTTTATGTATATTTTGAGTGAGCTAAACAATTTTGGGCCAATGAATTATACAGATAGCTTCTCAGGCAATTGTAGAGGAACATATGTCCTATCGGCAGGTAGAATCCAAACCACTATATTAGCAATGTTAAGCATAAGCCTGAAATTAGTGGGACTGCTTGTCACAAATTCTTGAATCGCTCTGTTTCTCTGTTTTTATCAGCAAATTTCTTATGGAGAGGCTTCAAGAAAATAACAATTATCAATCCACAAGAAAGTGTCCAGCTCATCACCAATGACATATTTAATTACAAGTATCAATCCATTTATTCCAAAGCTTTAAGGATGTTTACATCATGAATTTTGCTGGAACACGTGGCAATAGCTGGTTGGATCTCCTCAAAAAGGTGATAGATTGATAAGACAGATTATTGATTCCGGTGCCACCGATCACATGACAGGTGCCTCTAGTCTTTTCTATTCTTATTCTCCTTGTTCCGGCCGAGACAAGGTTCGAGTGGCTGATGGCACTTTATCCTCTCTCTCTGGCAAGGGTTCGGTTCATTGTTCATCTTTGCTTTCTCTTTCATCTGTGCTTCATGTTCCTACTTTTTCCACTAACCTGCTTTCTGTTAGTAGTCTTACTACTTCTCTAAATTGCTTAGTGACATTTTTTCCCACTCATTGTGTCTTTCAGGACCTAGCTACGGGGAAAACAATTGGCAATGGTAGAGCACAAGGTGGGCTATACTTTCTGGATGTCGTTCCTCCTGTCGTCCCATCTCAAGTGCACTACTGGCTCTTCTCTTTCTCTCCTTCATCAATGGCATCGCCGTTTGGGTCATCCTTCCTTTAGTATTTTAGAGAAACCTTTTCCTTCTTTAGTTCGTGATTGTCCTAAGAGTATTTTTTGTTGTGATGCTTGTGAACTTGTAAAGCATAAACGTACTTGTTACCCTTCAATTAATAAAAGAAATACTTTTCCTTTTATGCTTATTCATACCGATGTGTGGGGCACTTCTCCTATGGTTTCTACTTCTGGGTATCGATGGTTTGTTACATTTATTGATTGTTTTTCCCATGTGACTTGGATTTACTTGCTTCGAACTAAGAGTGAAATTTTTTCTTGTTTCCAAACTTTTCATAAAATGGTGACCAATCTTTTTAATGCTCAAATCAAAATTCTTCGTAGTGATAATGAGACTGAGTATGTTGATGGAGTTTTTTAGGCATACCTAGAGGAGCATGGCATTCTTTATCAGACTAGTTGTGTTGGTACCCCTCAACAGAATGGGGTTGTCGAACGCAAGAATGGCCATCTTCTTGAAGTTGCTCGCTCTCTCTTGTTTACCATGAATGTCCCCAAGTCATTTTGGGGTGATTCTGTTCTTACCGCTGCTTACCTTATCAACCATATGCCTTCCAATATCCTCCAATTCCAGATTCCTCTTCAACTGCGCTTCCTGTCGCATATCCCACCTCTTTTCTTTCTCCTCGTGTGTTTGGGTGTGTCTATTTTGTTCATTTGCAACATCGTACTCGTGGGAAACTCGATCCCAAGGCTATGCGTTGTGTCTTTATTGGTTATTCTGCTACTCAGAAAGGTTACAAATGCTATGATCCTCACACTCGTAAAGTGTATGTAATTATGGATGTCACTTTCCGTGAATCTGTGTCCTCTTTTCCTTCTCCTCCGCCATCTCCTCCGGGGGAGAGTAGTAGTGGTATGGATGAGATTGCGGATGAGGAGATGGCCTATCAACACGAGTTGTCTTTTTTCCTTCCTAGTCAGGAGACTATTATTTGTGGTGAAGGGGAGCCTAATAGTTCTCTTGATGTGGAGCCTGACATTAGTGGTCATTTGGACAGGGCTGATCTTAAGACTTATTCTCGGCATCCGAAAGAGCAAGCATCCCTTGTGCCACCAAACCCATCATCATCCCTCATGCCAGTTCCAGGTAATGCATCTCAGTCTATCCCTCTACCTATAGTTGAGAGTCCTGTTGTCAATGATTCGAGTCTTCCTATTGCTCTTAGAAAGGGAGTTAGGGCTTGTACTCAACACCCCATTTCTAAATTTGTGTCATATGATTCATTGTCTTCTACATATCGTGCTTTTGTTACGTCTTTGTCTTCTGCATGTATTCCCCAGGGTTGGACAGAAGCTATCAATGAGCCTAAGTGGAAAGTAGCTATGGTAGAAGAGATGCAAGCTCTAAGCAAGAATAACACTTGGGAGTTGGTTTCTCTTCCTAGTGGAAAAAAAGTCTGTAGGGTGTAAGTGGGTGTTCACCATCAAGCAGAAAGCAGATGGAACAATTGAACGATACAAAGCACGAGTAGTAGCCAAGGGGTTTACTCAGACATATGGAATTGATTACCAAGAAACCTTTGCTCCTGTGGCAAAGATGAATTCCATTCGAGCTATTCTCTTATGTGCAGCTAATTTAGGATGGCCTTTACAGCAGTTAGACGTGAAGAATGCATTTCTCCATGGTGATTTGGAGGAAGAGATATATATGGATATACCACCAGGATTCTCATCTCAGTCTACAGTTAGGAAAGTTTGTAGGTTAAAAAAGGCGTTATATGGTTTGAAACAGTCTCCTCAAGCTTGGTTTAACAGATTCCTAAAGGCTATGTTGAGTTTCGGGTATAAGCAAAGCAATACAGATCACACAATGTTTGTTAAACGTCACGCAAATAAGGTAACTGTGCTTATAATATATGTGGATGACATAGTTGTGACAGGTAATGATGAGGAAGAAGTGACACATCTTAAGATGCTGTTGGCCAAGAAATTTGAGATCAAAGACCTTGGTTCGTAGCGGTACTTTCTTGGGATTGAAGTTGCCAGATCTGACAAAGGCATATTTCTTTCTCAGCAGAAGTATATTCTAGATTTTCTTGAGAAAACTGGCATGTTAGGCTGCCGACCTGCTAATTCGCTAATTGAGGCTAATCACCATCTTTGTAGTGGTGTTACTGATCTTGTGGAGAAGAAAAGGTACCAGCGACTTGTGGGAAGACTTATATATTTATCCCACACTCGTCCAGATATTGCCTACGCGGTTGGGATAGTGAGTCAATTTATGCATGAGCCTCGTGCCCCTCACTTGGATGCAATGTATCGTATTTTGAGGTATCTTAAATCTGTTCCTGGAAAAGGGATTTTATTTTCTAATCATGGTCACTTGAGGTTAGAGGCATTCACGGATGCTGATTGGGCTGGTTCTATAGATGACAGGCGATCTACCTCCAGTTATTGTGCATTTGTGGGGGAAAATTTAGTCACATGCATAGTTGTCAAATCAGGATTCGTATCGTGAATCGAAATGGTTTCGTACTGAATCGCGAATCGAATCGAATCGTGAATCGTAAAAATTCGGTCACTTTTTCTAAATCACTTAAAAACATATATCTACACATTTAGATGTTAAATGTATCTTATGAATATAAAATATTTAGACTTAAATCAACAAAAATGTTATTTTAAATAATAATCACGTAATTTAATAGATAAGAAGTTAACAAAGGCTCCTATGTAAAATCACCATCTTACCTTCTTTTTTTTTTTTTTAGATTTTTTTATCAACCATTCTTAATAAAGATAATAACCAAATAGAAACTATTAATTTCTGAAGTAACAATAGTTAACAACGATATTGATATTGGGACAATAAACATATATACTTTTCTAAGTAAGAGTGAGCAAATAATAAGAAAGAATTATTTAGGATATTTTATTTTAAAACCTAAAACATTTTAACAGGTATAACTGACCTCACACATGTAGTATTCAATTTAATAAAATAGTAATAGATAATTCATAGTGTAACTCTAATCTTAAACATCTTTAGAAGATATATTACAATTTTTTGAAGGGGACAAAAATGAGAAGAAAGGTTAAAAATATGTTAGGTCTGACTGAATCTGATTAGATTCTATAAAAAACTCTATGATCACTAAAATAATAACAAATCATATATATATGTTGGTTATTTTGGTATTAAATACTATTAGAAGTTATATTATGTCATTTTCACTAAAAAGATGGAAAAAATGAGTCGAAAATATGTCGAACACAATAATTTCAAAAATTGCATGAATCGTAAAAAGTGAATCGAATCGTGAATCGATTGTGAATCGTGCGATTCGCTAGAGATTCACTTCCAAAATAGATTCACTCATAGATTCGTATCGATTTTGCAAAAATTGCGAATCGAATCGCGAATCGTAAGATTCTGATAACAGAGGCGTAGTGTAACGGTTGTGGTAACTTAAAACATAAATTTTTTTTTTAGTCTTTGTTTTGGTATTGAATGAAGAATTCCTACATCACAAGGTTGGTGGCCCAAATCTATTCCTCGAAGCTGGTTCAACTCCCTATCAATTGCTCAGTTTATTGACAACCAAAGCAAATAGACATGGTGATGGGTCCCCATATCCAACCAAACCGCTTCATCAAAATCAAGCACCCCACGCCTCCCTTTTTCTCTTTTGCCCCAGTTTTCCTATTAATAGAAACATGAGATAATTTGGTTTATTTTAGCTTGAAGGCATTAATTTTTTTTTCCCTTCCAAAAGAATTGTGGTTTTCAATAACGGTATTAAGGTACGTATTGTATTGGTGATATAGTCGTATATTGACTAATATCAATAGTGTAAACAAATACATCATGAATACTGGTATCAGAAATCCAAAACGGAAATCCAAAATTCCAATACATAATGGTCAATATGATACATATTGGCCAATATTTAAATCCCTAAGGATAGTACAATACATTGATTTGAGACAATATTATGTCATTGCAATTTTAACAAATAATTGCTTTTGACTAAAATGTTCAATTTAGACAGTGATTTCACGTTAGTTCACCGTGGAACAAAATATTTAGGCTATTTCAATTCACGCAACATGAAACTTTGATTCTTGGAATCATTTACAGTTTTTTCAACTTTCATATTCATAGAATCATAATTATTCAGAATAATTGTATTAAATTTAATTTAGAATTTGCTCTATTATGGTTGAGAGATGAGTAGTGTTCACAACTAAAAGAATCATTCACTCGAGCAAGACTCCACAACATTTCGTATAACCTATGGCTTTATTGATTGTATCCTTTTATCAAACAAAATCAAAATGTGATTTTGTAATCGATCTATAAACAATTTCGAAATTTTCTACTTTTCTTCTACTAAAATCTTTTAACATGGACCCTAGAAAGGTCCTCAACCACTCCAGTTGCAAATATATCATTCAATTTGAAGAACAATGGCTGTACACCAATAGCCTTGGTGATTGACTAGTACCCTGATTGCCAACTTCATAAATTCAGTTCTTGTCCATCACAAACACGGTGGTATGAATTTTCCGTAGGGATCATATTGAACTTTTCAGGAACCAACTATCCACTTATTCACACGGATCAAATCACAACTACCAAAATGAAATTACCCAATATAATAATATATACATGCATCTTTAGCTAAGGAGATAAACATTAGCCTTGAGACAAATAGCACCCCTTTGATGAAAGAGAAACACGAGAGATAGAGCCACTAACCTTTAACATTATAGGAAACTGCCCAAAATTGAACTTTTCTCTAATAACAGCTCCATTACCATATTGAAAGCAAACATCCGCCAGGAATTTCCCCGAATATGTAATTTTAGCTTGTCTACACTGTTACAATAAAGTGCTTTCCTAATGAGACCCAAAAAAAATCAGAAGTTCTAAAGTTTAGGTGTGAAGGTAATCGCTTACTTCAAAAGGATACAAAGCTTCGTGCATTCTCTGGGAAATGCCTTCCTTTTGAGGACGGAATAGTCGTGGCTTTTCAAACCAGAGTATGATGCGAGTCAAGAAAGAACGTCAATGAAAAAAAATCAGAAACTCGAATAAAATGGCTAAAATCGAAAACAATAAAATTCAAAAATATTCTCCAAAAGAGCATAAAAAAGAATTAACCCTTTCTGCTGCTGCAGAGAAAGTGGAAGAAAATAAAATTGTAAGCTCGGTTCAGTCCAAGAATCATCACTCTTTCTGATAATAGAATTACCAAAACTCAATAATCACAATTTTATGCATCTTCAATCCTTTATCAAAAAAACAAATTTCATCAAAACTGCACCAAAAAAAGGGGAGGCAATTTTCCCATCAAATCCAATCCTTGGTCAATTTTTTCATCAAATTGGCTAAAAGTGTGCTTCAACTATTTCATCAAACCTGCATCAAATAAAGGGCGGGAGGCAATTTTGTCATCAAAACAATATGAACCAAATCTTTCGCCAAATTCTCAAAGTTCCTATCTTTACTCAAATTTTGATGAAATTTGAAAAAGATGAAGGAATAGAGATGGTTTTATTTCATCAAAAATGGCTAAAACAGGATTTTAGGGTAAGTTGGAAAATTTTCAAAAAATATTTGATAGGACATGCTTTTAACCAAATTTTCACTCAAAATCCTCTAAACCTTATAATCTTTTACTTTTTTTTCCTACGATTTTTGAGCAACCAAACAGAACATGAATTAAAGAATGAGAAAAACGGAAGTGAAGGATATTTCGCAGCTTCTTCTTGGTGAAAGGGTCGAAGACTTCAACGGGACTGATGCTGACGAGCATGGTCTCCAATCCGTAGCTGACCATGTGATCGAATGACTCTATGTGGTGCTTTACCAGCTCTTTCAGAGGCTCGTAGTCCGGAGGCGCAGACGAATAGCCCACCATTTTTATCGACACTTGTTCCTTTTCTCTTAGGTCTCTCTGTTTGTGTGTCTCGGAGCTTTTGGTTGTGTGGTGTTTGTTCTTACAGAGGTTTATAAACGAAAGGGTTTGTTGTGTGAGACTCGGTTTTTTCGAAGGTCTTTTCGGCGATGAGGGTTTAGGGTTTTGAGAGACACTGAGCCGGTTGTGTTTCAATCGACCACGTGGCAATAGAAGGCACCTGCTGAGAAGTAGGGAAAAAAGTAAATTTTTTTTGTTTTCTAGTTTTTTATTTTAAAACGTATAAAAAAATAAGTAAATTGTTGCGATTTAAATAATTCAATAAATTATTTTTTTTTCTAATTGACAAAAATAACTGGAGATGTAACACGTGATAGAGGTTGGTGGAGTTAGTAAGGATCGAACTCTTCAAAACTTAAGGTTGGATTTTTGCTATGGATGTTACGAGTTGAGTTTGTGACAGATTTGTCGTAGCCTCCGTTTGAAAAGTGGGTTGGCTTTTTGGTTTTTTGATTTTTTTGGCTATTTTAGCCTGGGCTAAAAAGCTTGGTTTGGGAAGGGTTTTTTGGCTTTTTGGCTTTTTTGACTTTTTTTGTGAGAGAAGAGTGTAATGATTATGGGTTGGATGTGATGTTTTGTTTTTTGTGGCTAAAATAGCCTATTTTGTCTTTTGTGGCTAAAATAGCCAAAAAAGCCCCAAACTCTTCTTGCCAAACGAACCCTTAATTTACCCCACTTCTTTTCATATTGGATGTAGGGTAAATTGGGGATGGCCGGTATAGGGTAGGGATGGATTTTTTATATAAGTTACAAAATAAAAATATTAATAAAACTATAATATATTATGGATAATAATTCATACTTAATAAAAATGGTAACAAATTAGATATAAAATAAATAATTAAAATTTAATATTAAGTATAGTATTCTAGTATTTTAATTTTATTATAATAGACAAGATTAAATTATATATTATATACATATAAATATATTTAATAAATATAATCAGGATCGGGGGAAGCAAATCCCTGCATCCTTAATGGGAGAGGAAAACCCGTGCAAGGCGATGGCGAATGCAGGACAGGGACAGAGAAAATGGCTATCCCTAATTTTCACTATTAGCAATTGTACAGGACAGGGACAGAGAAAATGGCTATCCCTAATTTTCACTATTAGCAATTGTAATGACCCCAACTTCCGATTAATGCTCATTCATGATTAAGGGCTAGTTTGGCATGTACTAAATAAGCCAAAAAGTCAAAAAGTCACTATCTTATTTAAGTCACATCATCTTATTTAAATCACATCACCTCTCTAACACATCACATCAAACCCAACCCAAACCCAACCCAAACCCACCAATAAGTCAAAAAGTGCACTTTTTTAGGACATTCCAAACCAACCCTAATTATGCTTAATAGTAATTTAGGAAGGATTTGGGATTTAATTACATGTGTATTGCATTATTTATGTGTTTCTACCTGTTTGTGATAAAATGATATGTTCATGTCTTTGACTTTAAATTGAGAATTGAAAGCCTTATCGGCGTCCGAATTAGAAATCGACTTGATTTATGCGCTAGTTAGGATTATAGAATTTTATAGTAAGTTTAATTAAAATTTGGGCGTCCGAATCAGAAATCGACTTTATTTATGCGCTAGTTAGGATTTATAGAATTTTATGGTAAATTTAATCAAAATTCGGTTCGGGGCGATTAAATTAGATTAAATCATGTTAATTTATACTTGTTTGAGTAAATTACCAAAATATCACTTGGTGGGCCACTATCTAAACCATTGTTTAGACTTGAATTAGGTGTTTTGTTTTCATCACTCTTCTCCATCCACAAGACCAATTCGAAAGAGAGAGAGGGAGAGTAGGAGAATTTGAGTTCATCAAGAATTTGGCTAGGAAATTTGAATAATTGAAGAAAGGATTGTATAATTAGGCTCCTACACCTTAACATTCAAGACATAAGGTAGAGAATTCATCTTCTCCATTGTGATTTTGAGTTACTTCTTGCATGGTTCATGGTGAATTAGAGTTTAGAGTCAAGTTTTGGTTCTAAATGTTGAATTGAGTAGGAATTCTTGCATACATGTGTATATCATGAAGTTTGAGGTTGTTTTCATAGAAATTCTTGCATGCATGTCCACATTTTTGTTATAGTCCATGAACTCACCATGTTTTGAAGTTAAATCTTGCATTTGATCTTGTTTTAGAACTTTGGAGTTTCAAGGAACCCATGCATGTGTTGAATTTGCATTGTTCTTCCTGTTCTAGAAGTTTCTTTGAAAATCGTGTTTAATTGAACTACCTTTGTGTTTTGATTTTGCAAATTGATCTTTGAACACATGTCATATTATGAGTTTACTAGTGTTTTCCGGAAAATTAGCCTAAAAGGATCGCAGTTGATGCATTGTAGTTGAGTTTTGAGCTTAAGGTTCGAATCTGAAAATTCTAGATTTTGGACTCACGCTCGAGCGGGGAACTCCACGCTCGAGCGTACAAAATCACACAATAGAAGAGAGAAACCTGATTCCAAAGCCAATACAATCAATCAACAAGATTCTAGTATAGATACCACCAAGCTCACTTAATTGTTCAGTTCGCATTAATATTAGTGGATTTGGTAGATTCAAACAAATAGCCCAAGTGTAGTCTATAGTAGGCCATCAAGCTCTTAGCGTTCATGCCCAAGTTATTTCTTTGTGATACAAGGTGCATTTGGTGTGGTTGCCCAAACTATAATCTCCTATTCACTTGTTCTCAGTATTTTTCCCTAACCCCCAAGCTATCATTTAATAAGTTGTCTAGTCTTTGTTTTGGTATTGAATGAAGAATTCCTACATCACAAGGTTGGTGGCCCAAATCTATTCCTCGAAGCTGGTTCAACTCCCTATCAATTGCTCAGTTTATTGACAACCAAAGCAAATAGACATGGTGATGGGTCCCCATATCCAACCAAACCGCTTCATCAAAATCAAGCACCCCACGCCTCCCTTTTTCTCTTTTGCCCCAGTTTTCCTATTAATAGAAACATGAGATAATTTGGTTTATTTTAGCTTGAAGGCATTAATTTTTTTTTCCCTTCCAAAAGAATTGTGGTTTTCAATAACGGTACTAAGGTACGTATTGTATTGGTGATATAGTCGTATATTGACTAATATCAATAGTGTAAACAAATACATCATGAATACTGGTATCAGAAATCCAAAACGGAAATCCAAAATTCCAATACATAATGGTCAATACGATACATATTGGCCAATATTTAAATCCCTAAGGATAGTACAATACATTGATTTGAGACAATATTATGTCATTGCAATTTTAACAAATAATTGCTTTTGACTAAAATGTTCAATTTAGACAGTGATTTCACGTTAGTTCACCGTGGAACAAAATATTTAGGCTATTTCAATTCACGCAACATGAAACTTTGATTCTTGGAATCATTTACAGTTTTTTCAACTTTCATATTCATAGAATCATAATTATTCAGAATAATTGTATTAAATTTAATTTAGAATTTGCTCTATTATGGTTGAGAGATGAGTAGTGTTCACAACTAAAAGAATCATTCACTCGAGCAAGACTCCACAACATTTCGTATAACCTATGGCTTTATTGATTGTATCCTTTTATCAAACAAAATCAAAATGTGATTTTGTAATCGATCTATAAACAATTTCGAAATTTTCTACTTTTCTTCTACTAAAATCTTTTAACATGGACCCTAGAAAGGTCCTCAACCACTCCAGTTGCAAATATATCATTCAATTTGAAGAACAATGGCTGTACACCAATAGCCTTGGTCATTGACTAGTACCCTGATTGCCAACTTCATAAATTCAGTTCTTGTCCATCACAAACACGGTGGTACGAATTTTCCGTAGGGATCATATTGAACTTTTCAGGAACCAACTATCCACTTATTCACACGGATCAAATCACAACTACCAAAATGAAATTACCCAATATAATAATATATACATGCATCTTTAGCTAAGGAGATAAACATTAGCCTTGAGACAAATAGCACCCCTTTGATGAAAGAGAAACACGAGAGATAGAGCCACTAACCTTTAACATTATAGGAAACTGCCCAAAATTGAACTTTTCTCTAATAACAGCTCCATTACCATATTGAAAGCAAACATCCGCCAGGAATTTCCCCGAATATGTAATTTTAGCTTGTCTACACTGTTACAATAAAGTGCTTTCCTAATGAGACCCAAAAAAAATCAGAAGTTCTAAAGTTTAGGTGTGAAGGTAATCGCTTACTTCAAAAGGATACAAAGCTTCGTGCATTCTCTGGGAAATGCCTTCCTTTTGAGGACGGAATAGTCGTGGCTTTTCAAACCAGAGTACGATGCGAGTCAAGAAAGAACGTCAATGAAAAAAAATCAGAAACTCGAATAAAATGGCTAAAATCGAAAACAATAAAATTCAAAAATATTCTCCAAAAGAGCATAAAAAAGAATTAACCCTTTCTGCTGCTGCAGAGAAAGTGGAAGAAAATAAAATTGTAAGCTCGGTTCAGTCCAAGAATCATCACTCTTTCTGATAATAGAATTACCAAAACTCAATAATCACAATTTTATGCATCTTCAATCCTTTATCAAAAAAACAAATTTCATCAAAACTGCACCAAAAAAAGGGGAGGCAATTTTCCCATCAAATCCATTCCTTGGTCAATTTTTTCATCAAATTGGCTAAAAGTGTGCTTCAACTATTTCATCAAACCTGCATCAAATAAAGGGCGGGAGGCAATTTTGTCATCAAAACAATATGAACCAAATCTTTCGCCAAATTCTCAAAGTTCCTATCTTTACTCAAATTTTGATAAAATTTGAAAAAGATGAAGGAATAGAGATGGTTTTATTTCATCAAAAATGGCTAAAACAGGATTTTAGGGTAAGTTGGAAAATTTTCAAAAAATATTTGATAGGACATGCTTTTAACCAAATTTTCACTCAAAATCCTCTAAACCTTATAATCTTTTACTTTTTTTTCCTACGATTTTTGAGCAACCAAACAGAACATGAATTAAAGAATGAGAAAAACGGAAGTGAAGGATATTTCGCAGCTTCTTCTTGGTGAAAGGGTCGAAGACTTCAACGGGACTGATGCTGACGAGCATGGTCTCCAATCCGTAGCTGACCATGTGATCGAATGACTCTATGTGGTGCTTTACCAGCTCTTTCAGAGGCTCGTAGTCCGGAGGCGCAGACGAATAGCCCACCATTTTTATCGACACTTGTTCCTTTTCTCTTAGGTCTCTCTGTTTGTGTGTCTCGGAGCTTTTGGTTGTGTGGTGTTTGTTCTTACAGAGGTTTATAAACGAAAGGGTTCGTTGTGTGAGACTCGGTTTTTTCGAAGGTCTTTTCGGCGATGAGGGTTTAGGGTTTTGAGAGACACTGAGCCGGTTGTGTTTCAATCGACCACGTGGCAATAGAAGGCACCTGCTGAGAAGTAGGGAAAAGGAAAATGAGTGAGAGCACTAATTAGTGCTACCACTAATGATGTGGCAGTGGGCCCCACCATGAATGATTTGATATTTTGACCTTGGTGTTGTATTTTTTTCTTTTTTTATTGAGTGCCATGTCATTAGTGATCTTTTTAAAGCTCCAAAATTAGTGGTCTCTATCATTGTTGAAAAAAAAAATTGGTAAGTGTAAGAGCATCCTTATCAATTTATTCAAATTTTATTCTAAAATATTATTAAAAAATTCATTAGGAATCACTTTTTTATCTACTTCTCCCAACAAACTCTTCATTTTTTTTTCTATTCTATTAAAATAATCTTTTTAATTACTTTTAAATTTGAATATTTTTTAATAATAAAATAATGAAAACACATCTAAATCAAACACCAGCCAACAGCAACAAAGTAGTAGAGGAAAACAAAGCAGGGTGGTCAACCGGGTGATCGACCAGCCAAATGATCAAGCAGTCGATCGGTCAGGCCAATTTTGGACATTTTTCTTCTTCAGCTATAGGGCACTCACGGGACATTCGAGGGACATCCGAAGGGACATCTAGCCGGACAACCCTCCAGTTTTCCTACGCGTCTTCAACGAGTAAAATAACAATTTATTAGATATGAGGAAATTACAGTGACTCCCTACAAATAGGCTACAAATCGGGAGTCACTGTAGCAACATTTATATTTGGAGAATTGGATAAGGAAATTGCTGGGGGTGTGTTTTGACAAAAAAAGCTCCTTATTTTGGCTAAGGATATAAGGGAAGAGATGAGGATGCTCTAACAAGATAGTAGAAGTATGATTTATATAAAATAAAATAAAAAATATCCCCCATATAATTTTATCATATTTTGTCCATTTTTTTAAAAAATAGATGAAAAAAACATATAGGTTTCATTTGTACATTTTTAATGTATTTATTTATACCTATATTGCACTAAAATAATCTTTTTATTTTCTAGTGTTTGGTTAACACTTCAAACTGAAACAAAAACTTTGTACAGTATGCATTGGGTAGAACAAATAAGAAAATGAAAGTGAGTTAATTAGACATTTTAACAAGTAACAAATATTATATAAATGGTATACTGAAGACGTCTAGTGTGTTAGGGATGCTATTAAATCCACCATGGTATATTGATGACGTCTAGAGTATTAGGGATTAAATCCACCAAAGATAAGACCGTGATGACTTCATGGATTGGGAGGAGTCAAAATATTTTTTTTTTGGCTGCCTAAATCGAACCAATATAAATATATGTATATATTTTTAAAATTTTTATTTATATTGACATATTTTTATCTTATTGCTATGTTACAGTGAATTTGATTATACTTAATAAGTTTTATATACAAAATTATTAGGGTAAACGAAAGAAGTATTAGAAGCTTGAGTCAGATTTTGTAGTTGATTTAATTTGTATTAGTTGTAATAATAGATTTAATTTGTATTGGTTATATTTAAGCTTAAATTGGATTTAATTTATAGTGGCTTGTAATAAATAATATTTTACTCTTAGTTTGTGGCATGTTTAAATGTTAAAAAACTTATTTATTTTAATTATTTGTTATTGAGTGATTTGCATATTTTTAATATAGTGGAATCGTAGTTTCAACTCGAATCAATCCAAGTTGGTTTGGGTTGGGTTGGATTGTTTCTAGTACATGATTGGTTTAGTTGTGAGTCCAAAAACTCAAAATCGATTACCATTGGGTTGGTTTCGAATTTAGTGACAAACCAACTATGAACACCTCTAGTATGCATTGGGTAGAAACAAATAAGAAAAATGTTAGGCATCTTAAGAAATCTATTAATATATATCTCACATAGGTATGAGACTCGGGTGATGCTATGGTACATTTAGATGTACCATACATTTAGTTATGAACTTATATGATTTTATATCACAACCAATACCATATTAGTCATAACTACTAACATATTAACTCATAACTTAGTTATATTCAATTATTTACTTATACCATATTACTTCATAACCAGGTCATAACTAAGTTATTTAAATAATTTGACTCTCAAATTAGGCAACCGATGTAACCGATTACCAAACAGAGCAAAGTATCAGAGTAGTCTAACAGTCTGAAGTCAGTTGGCTTCCCTCTCTAGCTCGTGCTCTTGCTCTTCTCTTCTCCTCCCTCCTCTCTTCAGTACTTTTCATGAAGTTTACAGTCCGCTCGAGCGAAGGAAGTCACGCTTGAGCGGAGCTCTTTTGTCTGCATGTCCGCTCGAGCGTAGAAAGCCACGCTCGAGTGAGACCCCTGTTTTTTGAAAATTCTAAAAAGTGTTTTAAAGTGTATCTTTGCATCCTCATTCCATCTTAGGCATTCCTAGGCCATGTTTAAGACTCTATAATGAGGATAAGAGATTAGAAACACACTAAGAGCCAACGAAATAAGTTTTGTACAATTAGAATGTGTGTTTCAAGTGTGCATCTGTTATGTGTCATGTAGGTCACGTTCCATGCCCTATCTGATCGATCTGCTCTGTCTGTCTGTCTCCAAGCCCACTGTGAGTAATAGCTCTGTAAAGTTATGTTCAACTTAAGTATTTTCTAACTGGTATTGTATGATCTATTTTCTGAAATGCTATCTTACGAATTATGAATGAATGTCCTATTTTCTAAAAAGTAATTGTGGCACCCTTAGTTCACGTGACCTTTGCCTGGGGGTAACAATACCATCGCTACTTGCGTACAAGATATGGACACTTGTGGTCGTTGGTACTAACTATATATGTGGGTCTCTGGACCAATCTGATCTGATAGCTAATGGGTGTACCACGTATGATCTTATGCAAAATCTGAATATGATAATGTATATGAATCTGTTTCTGTTTTGAAGTCTGATTATGCTCTGATTTAAGATGAATTCTAACTTATGCCGGACATCATTCATATAACCCCTTTATTCTGTTATTATTCACTGGACATTCGCTCACAGTTTATATTATATATGTAGGTGAGCCGGCATGTGACCAGGGCCAGAGTTGACGGCCTTCTCTTTCATTTTTGTCAGCCAACTGTTGTGCCTCCCGAGGAGGTTCCGATCGAGTCTAACGCCAAAGCTATTTTTGTATTTCATGCTAGTCTTTGTGTAAACATTGTATAGTCAGATCTTGGGAAGTTCACTTCTATAAATATTTTGTAAATACTATGTATCTGGACTGGCATGTTTATATATATATTTATAAGTTTTGAAATGTTCTGTCCCATGTACGTTATCATAGCTCATTGAACCTTGTCTATTTTGTATTATTGCTTCCGCAGCCCCTTATTATTTGTTAATCTGTTCAGAGGCCTTTGGTAATCCACAGATTACTGGTCGGTTACGGTGCTGAACCCATAGGGGCGGGTTTGGGTCGTAACAGCAATCCTCCTTGATGGACAATTTATAACTCCAATACAAGTTTTCGTTGATACCTTTGGCTTGCCCTGACTCTAGATTGAGGTAGTCTCCTCTCAACTAAACTTTTTAAGGTAAATTACACTAACACCCCCTAAGGTTTATGCTTATTACAGTTCTCTCCCTCACCTTTTGGAAATTATATCTCCCCCCTGAGGTTTAAAGTTTCATTACAGATTCTCTCCCTCAGTAATTTAATTTTTTTAAATACCAATTTTGCCCTCACTAGGTAAATTACATTGACACCCCTTACATTTTAGAAATTACAATCCCCTCCCTAAGGTTTAAAGTAGCATTACCAATTGCCCCATCGGTTAGTATTAGTTGGAAAAAAAATTAATTGGAAAAAAAATTATTTGAAAAAAAAATAATAATTGCAACAAAAAATTTGTTAGTAAAACTTTTAAATTTCTGTTTAAAAACTAATGTAAACTCATTTTTTGAATTTACGTTTTTTCCTCAAATTTATAAACTGAGACTACCATTTATAAACCAAAAAAATTATCAAACAAGTTTTTATGATAGTTTTTAAAATTTTTGTAAATATAAATTGAAAATTGAATACTGAAAATGAAATGATTACCAAACAGGCTTCAGATGGTAAAAATGTCGTAAAATTAATAGATAATTAAATAAGTTACCAACGTAAGAAATGACTTATCAAAAGATTCTTAGGCTATGTATGGTTTGATTTTTATACATTTTTTTAAAAAATTAAAAATTAATTTGGTTAAGAAATAAAAAATAAAAAATAATTATCATTTAAGGGTAAAAAAAATTACCTTTCCATTTTGCATCAGTACACAGCCCAACCCTTTATACGAAGCATCACTGTAGATTTGAAACTGATCAGTACCATTAAGTAAGGTTAGGATCGGTGCAGTCATCGGTCTGAATTTCAATTCTTGAAAGGCTGATTCACGCTGACCATTCCAATCAAATTGTACATTCTTCTGTGTCAATTGTGTCAATGGCATTGCAAGTTTTAAGAAGTCTTTCACAAATCATCTATAATAACCAGCCAACCCCAAGAAATTTCTAACCTTTGTTACATTTGTCGGTCTAGGCCAGTCCACAATAACTTCGATTTTCTGAGGGTCAACAGAGACGCCATCCTTGTTGATTACATATCCCAAAAATGCTACATTGTCAAGCCAAGATTCACACTTGGACACTTTAGCATACAATTTCTTTTCTCTCAGGATCTGCAAGGTAGTTCTCAGATGATTTTCATATTCTTTCATGCCTTTAGAATAAATCAAAATGTCATCAATAAACACAACGATAAATTCATCGAGATATTGTTTGAAAACCATGTTCATTAGATCCATAAAAGCTGCAGGTGCATTTGTTACCCCAAATGGCATTACCAAAAATTCGTAATGCCCATATCTAGTCCTGAATGCAGTTTTCTCTACATCTTTTGCTTTGACCTTAACTAATGATACCCAGACCTAA